ATTAGAAACTGACGAGCAGAAGCGCACTCATTTGAAGAAGAGCCATAGCTGATACACTGGAAAAAAACCACACTCTTGAAAACATTGACAAGAGAAAATACTCTTGATTCAATCAGATTTTTGCTTAAATCAAAAGGAAATCCGCTCAAATTAAGAGGCTTGGTTCTTGATTTAAGCGAAAATCCGATTGAATCAAGAGTACTTTTACTTGTCGTTTGTTTTTAAGAGTCTGGNTTTTTTTTTTTTTTTTTTTTTTTTTTTTTTTTTTTTTTTTTTTTTTTTTTTTTTTTTTTTTTTCAGTGTAACTATGCCGTTAAACCGGACTAATTTCGATAGGACTAATTTCTCCGGCGGATGGAGCGGCTGGAGCAACGGGGGACCGGGATATTCGATCCAGGGATTCCTTGCGGTGTGACAAGAGCTTAGCGAGACGTCGTGTCACCGCGCTCCAACTCGAATGTCTGCCTAAACGGTGCGGGTAAAGCGGTCCGAGACGGCTGCGGACCACCGGGAAAAAATTCCCTCGACGAAACCGATCGTGTTCGGTCCAGCGCATACGCACCAGATTTCACGAATAATCCGTCGGGAAGGAGATCCATCTTGATTACTAAGAGGATTCGTCCTCAAGGGTTATGTTTTCAGGATCTGGCGTTGATTTGGGGGCAAAACATCCGCACTTAAGCCCGCCAAACTCGGATGTTGCATGATCATCGATTACACCCGATAAACGTCCAAACTTTACAATTTCGTCTAGTCCATGACAATCTGCGCGAATGTCGATTTCAAAACTTGGTTGCTCAGGATTCCCTCAATTTCTTCATTTTCCACTTCCCCAATCGGGTATTGCTTGATCATCGATGGTGTAGCGCTGAGAGTGCTTCCTGAAGTGGGCGAAACGCGCCAGCGTTAACTGAGCGAATTAGCACACGCGGGTAATCATATTTTAAAATTAGAAGAAATAATCGTGGTTTCAGGAGGGAAGCACTTGGACTCATACACGGAGAAACAAACCTCGTGCGTGGGACCCGAAGTTTAGGTCATATGGATCTCTGAAGTTTTCAGATTGGGCATCTGAACACTAAAGGTCTAGCTGTCGAGGTTCAGATTACACATCTTAAACTTCAGTTCTTACATCTGAGGTACTTCAGATGTGAGAACCGAAGTTTTTCAGATGTGAGAACTGAAGTTTCAGATGTGTGATCCAAACCTCAGCAGCTGGACCTTAAGTGTTCGAATGCTCAATCCGAAAATTTCAGAGATCCATATGACCTAAACATCGGGTCCCACGCACGAAGTTTTTTTCTTCGTGTACGGACTGTTTTTGGGTTCCGACGATTAGGATAGCCACTGTGGCGTCATAACCGAACACGCACGATATTTTTTGAACTCCCTGTGACTCGAAAACCACGCATCTTAGAATATTTTGGTACAGGACTTATCTGTTTGTTTTGAGCCATAGAACAACCCCTGAAAGTTTGTCGCCACTTGGTTGTTACACCTTGTATATTATCTACCCCTTGCAAAAGGGGACCCCGAAATCAAAGTAACTCAACTTCCAAGCATTTTGGACTTGAGCTAGTTCATTCACTTGCATTAGTTCATCTTAAATTATCTGAAACATGCATTAGTATGATGATGAATGTTTTTAGGATTTCAGAAAGAGCAGATTAAGTTGTTGTCAACCTTTGCCTCTTCTTCCATCCCTGGTTCTGTATGCATTGAGATTAAAAGCTTCATACAGGTTTCCAAATTTGGACCCTATTTTTTAACGAACAAAAATGACCAAGTCCCATCCCTTTATCCTTTGTCAGCTTTGTTGTTAACTTTAGAGAGCTGTAAAATTGTGTCAATAAATTCAAGATTTACAACTGTAAAAATCATTCTTATCTACTGCAGGAATTTAGGGGTATTATTGTTGCTTTTTTAAGTATTGTAAGTAGTGTATTGTGATTTTTCTACTTTTTTATTTTCTTAAGTCATGAATCCTGTCATAATAAGTTCAATCATTTTTTTCTAAATTGCAAGCAAGAATTTAGGGGTTTTAGTGTTAGACCTCTCGGCAAAGGCGCTATGAGGGCGACTTACATGAATGTATGGGAGGACAAAATTATCTTAAAATTTGAATTTTTAGATTCAAGGTCCTTGAGGTTTAAAATTGAGACAAAATCATGAAAAAAGGGACTTAAATAGGAAATGCGAAAAAGCTAACCATTTCACCACTTTAGAAGTTCATATTAAAGAGTTTGCTATAAAGAAAACCATAATTTTCAAAATAAAATTCAAATTTTCCAATCGAATTTGAGAGAAGTCTTCGCCAAAAGTGACGGATGATAATCTCTGATAGTGGAGTTAGTGAAGGTCAAATTTATTAACTCACAAGTCCTCCGAATTATTGGGATTTATGGAACAAGATAAACATGTGAAATGAAATTTACTGACTTCAGGATGAATTGGGAAAGAGAGTATTAAAAGTATAGATTTACCCATTGTTATGTTCGGTTTCTTTTTGCATAATGCAGTGAATTTCACCAACTATTATGTTTTATTCATTATTTTTAGTTTCCTTTTGTTTGAAGAAAACTAAATTGTATTCATTTAAATTTAATGCATTTATATAAGTCACTAAAAATTGAAATGGTATTTGGGTATTTTGGTATTGAGGATTTGGGGTAGATTGGGGTTTGAGAGAAAGGACCGTTCAAAAGCTATACAAAAAACGCTCATTTGTTCACCGAAAATATATTCATCTCATGAGTAGGCATTCTTATCTGAGAATGGTCATCACCTAGATTACATATATTACATTAAAAATTCAAGTTTTAAAATATATAAGAGAGAGAGTGCGTACGTGGTATCTTACTTGAAAATTTAACTTCGAACATAATCATTTGAGTTGGATCTAACTCACTTTGAGAACTTGTTTAATAGAGAAAAAAATTGATGGAGCCAAGGATTTAATTATAATAAATTAAACGGGTCGTTGACACGCAAGAGAGATACATTAGTGAAAAGCCTTTCTATGGATGAAATCGCAAAAAATTCACGATTGCCACGACAAAGAATTCTGAAATCCACCGCTTACCATGCAATGCTTAGTTAGTAAGACTTCCGCATCAGCGGTAAGTTTTTCTTAGTAGCCGGTTATAAATTTCGTCCGGAGAGAGACGCAAAAAACCTGACCTTAAAGTAATCACTCATTTCGAGAATTGTCACAGACTATTTTCCCACGCATGATTTCAACTGATTCAAGATATTTGATTTTGCAAAACAAAAAAAAAGGAGGAGACAAACGCTAGAAATAACGATTGAAGTCACACGCGAGAGAAAGAAAAAAAATTGCGAATTTTTTTTTTTTTTTTTTAGTTAGGTTAGGATTTTCTACGTCTGTCTATGGACGAGTCAAGTCGCCAACAACTAAGAATAACTGCACGGGAAAAAAAATTGCTGATTCAACAATGCAATTGCTAAAAACAGTGAGTGCAATGTTTCAACGCAGATTTTCCAACAAAAAAATGCTACTTTGACCACATTGTAAACTACTTTAACCACATTGTAAACTAATTTAACCACTGGGGTGATTAAAGTAGCATTTTTTTGTTGTAAAATCTGCGTTGAAACATTGCACTCACTGTTTTTAGCAATTGAATTGTTGAATCAGCAATTTTTTTTTTTCCGTGTGCCAAAGACGCAGGAAATTTGAAAAATCATGTTACAAACTACGTAAATTACGCGCTCTGTGCGCTAGACTAATTGTCGTGCCCATCGTGATTTACGTGCCATTATACCTGTAGAATGGCTATCCTATTGGCTGTACCTCTTGCGTGCAGCACACCTGATCGGAAATTCTGGTCATGTGTTGAAAAACTGAAGATGCTTTATCACAATTTTACCAAACGTGAAAGTTGATTCAAAATTCAGCATACGAACCAGTACGAAAATGATCAGTCATGTGAATAAAAAGATCTGTATTCGACGGTTCGCGTAAACTGTAGACTTAGATAAAAAAATTGCAATATGCTATAATAAACATGGAAAATTTGCGGACTCCGAAACTGGATTTTTGACAAACCTATCTCAAATTCATCATGATTATCACAAAAGAAAAAGTATACATATATTTATTTGAAGATCATCTTTAGTAGTTTTGCTGTCGAACTCTTTACTTTCGAGGCAGAATATTTCTATATTAAATTTAATAATACTCATTATTGTCGGCTGCATTTTTTTTTCTGACTTGAGGGATTTTACGGTTTTTATTAACATCTCCCCGGACTGAGTGGCTCAACGAATAACAGTGACGAATGATCTAATTCTAAAAGGATATCAAGTTTTTGCCTCCGACTAAAACTTGAGCCAATTTCAAATTTAGAACACTTGCAGCTGTACCCTAAAAATAGCTTCTTTATCATACGAAGTATAGTATGGTCACTGCACGAAATACCTACTTACCGAGATTTTAAAAGCATCTTTTGAAATGGAGCAGAATGAAATAATGATGAATTTTTGACCACCGTCAACACAAAATCGAGCTTAATAGTTTCAATGCATATTACCTTCTTGAAATATGGAACTTCATTACCATTTGTACAATTTTATTTTAAATATTGTTTTATCAATTTTTCAGGAGAAATCATTTTGCTGCGTCATGAAGGTTAGTTAGATTGATGAAATACTCTAAGCGAGGCAAATATTTAGAACTAGGTGATGATGATAGGCATGTGAAAGATGTGTATAAATCCGTTACTTTTGGTTTGCAATACGAGGTTTTTGGAGAAGAAAGTCACGCACCCTAGCTTGTTGATCAGCCACGGGCCACAGGGCTTACGTCACAGAGCAGAAGTGAAATTACGGTGGTATGTAAAATTAATTTGATTCTCGGCAGAATATTAATCTAAACTGACACAGCGAATAGATTTGTGCGTTGATCGTGAAGAATAGTCAACGTGGTCGAAAGTCAAAAAATTCATTTTAAACAAAGTGAATTAGCAGGAAAACAGTAGATCCTAAGAAATTAATTTAACCTAATGCTAAAATTAAGAAATAAATACAAATTTAAAATATATTTACATTAAATTAATGATATGGCATCATTGATGGAGAATCTCAAAATTAATGAGATGCAGAATTTGATTCTTCACTGGCATGCTCCTGTTGATGTGTGTCCTCCATAGCATGGTTAAGAGGAACTGTAACACGCAAAAAAGAGGAACGATTATACATTTTTGCATCAAACTGTGCATCAAAAAACGGGCTTTTCTCTAATCCCTTTTTCCTTCTCTCTCCTATTACACTGGAAAAAGAACACATTGGATCTAGAGTTTAGACTCCCAAAAACATCGACAAGAAAAAATACTCTTGATTCCATCGGATTAAGCTTAAATCAAGAACCAAGCCTCTTAATTTTGAGCGGATTTCCTTTTGATTAAGCTTAAATCTGATTGAATCAAGAGTCTTTCTTCTTGTCAATGTTCTCAAGAGTCTGGACTCTAGATCCAATGTGTTTTTTCCCCCCAGTTTATTTTACTTTTCAAGGAACGTAATGTGTTAAAAATGCATAATTAATGATTTTGATAACGTTCTTTGGTTACAGGATTGTAAAAATTGATATATACCACAAACGTAACATTGTACTCTAAACTGGTATGTCAGATTAAGCCTGAAACTAGACATGTGCATGAAAATCTGCGATTCCTTTTTCTAATTGTTTTGAAGATTCCTAGAGAACACATTGAAAAATGAAAAATTCTAGTGAATGTTACAGCATGAATGAACGTTAAACTCAAATACGGAACTTAACTATTAAATCTTCCATTCAACTTTTTCTCAAAGCACATGTCCACGACTATATGAAAACAATGTAAATAAATTTCCATTTGGGATTCCACGTTGCGATACTACTTTGATGTTTTATTTGCATTTTTATAAAAGGTTTGTACCTAGCTTACAATTGTTTTTAATCCTCCCTTTGAATTTTATTCACTCATCCATAAATATTAGTAGAACCTTCTAGAGAGATCTCTCGGTTATTTTCCCTCTAAGCAGATAAAACACTGCATTTTATGACCTAAGTTTTCACTTTCTCCTTAACACTAGTTTCACTCAACATAACTTACCCTCCATAATGCTTTTAGATTCAAATGTTTAATTAAAAAATCTAATTACAAAATTCTCACTCACCGACGAAAACTTCTCCTCGCACAAACTGCTCTGGCTGCTGTTCGTGCTTCTGCTCGGCCGGAGGCGGCGATCTCCTCATCTGATTGGTCACCGGTCTGGCATTTTGCACGTGTTCATGCTCAGCGTGGACAGCTTCATGTCCATGTTCAGCACGCTGTGCGTGTTCAGCGTGGTAAGCGGGGTGTTCACGCTCAGCCTGGACATGGTGGACATTGTGGGATGGCAGAGCATGGGCTGTCTGCTTTCCATGTTCGGCGTGCTCGCTGTGGTTTCCTCGTGCCACCACGTGCTCGACCTCTTCAACATCCTCGTGGCCTTCGTCACCTTCTGCCTCCACCTCGTCGTTCTCCGAAGCTGCCAAGAACGAGTCAACGTTGTAGTAAGCAGGTGCGGTCAGCGTCGTACCGGCCGGGGTGATGAGGCGCTGGCCTTGGGCGTACACGGCGATCGGAACTTGGTAGGAGTCAACTGCAGCGGCGGCTGCTACCTGTCTCGGGGTATCCAAGGGTAGTGGAGGAGGCTCGAGGTGGGTACCGGGGGCAAGGGCAGAGGGCACGCCGTAGGTGGCTGCTGGGGCTTGGGGTGGGCCGTAAACATCTACAGGGGGTGCTGGTGGTGGTGGAGGTGGTGGTGGTGGTGGTGGAGGGGGACCGTAGACGGGGACGGGCTCTACTGGCGGTGGAGGTCCGTAGACGGGTGCAGGTGTGGGTGGTGGTGGGGGAGGTGCAGGTTGATGGGTGGTTGGGAGCTTAACGCTGACGTAAGGGTGGTGCTTCTTGAGCTTGTATTTGCCGGGGAATTTCAGGAGCGGGAGACCGGGGAGAGGTGATAGGGCTTCAAGGGAGAAAAGGGGTGAAACTTCTTCTAGAGGGGTGGGGAGCTCGGCCTCGTAGGGTCCGGTCTCTTCTTCGGGCCAGATGTAGCCGGCGATGTTGGAGGGGATGGAGGAGACCGCGGATGCGACCTTAGCGCCCTCAGCGGCCACCAAAGCGAAGGGGGCGAGAAGCTTCTTCTTGGTGATGGCGGCCTTGGCGGCGACTCCCTTGGCCAACAGTTTCAGCTTCTTCTTCTTCAGGAGCTTCTTCTTGGCCTTGAGCTTCAACAAAGCAGCGATAATGCCGGCTTTCTTGACCTTGGGGTTCTTCAGTCCGTTTACGATGCTGGCCACGAGTTTGGGGTTGGTCTTGGCGATCTGGGAGAGGGTTTCGATGGCTTCCAACGGGATTTCACCGCTGCCAGAGATGCTCAAAAGAGCGGATAGATCCACGCCGCCTTCGCCGGAGACGAGGGGGCCCAGGGAGTCGAGGATTGCCAGGTCGGGGTTTCCCTTGCCTTCAGAAGTAGCTACGGCTGCTGCGGCGGTTTCGGGTGGTCCGTAAACGGTTGGCGGTGGAGATGGTGGTCCGTAGACTGCGGGCGGTGGTGGTGGTGGCGGGGTGGTGGGGATAGGCTTGACTTCAATCCCGGCGTATTTGTGTACTTTGAACACGGGGAGAGGTGAGGTTTCTTTGACCTCTTCGACCTCGAACTGTGGGAGGAACCAAGGGCCTTTTTTCTTGAGAAGTGCCAGCTTTTTGAGCTTTTTCAACTTCTTAAGGGAGCGCTTCTGAGGCTCGGCACCAGTGTGGGTGGAGTCTGAATCTGCGTCCTTCAAGGCTTCTTCGTTGGCCTCATTGGCCAGCGCAATGGCCACCGTGCTCAAGAGCAGGAGTACAATCGATAGTTTAAACCGATTCATCTGAAATAGAAAAATGGCAATAGTTTTCATTCAAAAATTTTGAAAAAAAAAAAAAAAAAAAAAAAAAAAAAAACCCGCACAACAATAAATTATCACCGGAATCGAAATAAATTGAATTCCGGACCCCCTTCGCCTTGCCATCATGAAAAAGTTTGTTTTTAAGAAGCAATACTATTTTCCGCTGATGGATGATGGACAAGCGAAATCTCCCACATTCTACTTGACAAAAAAGACCGAGTTTGACAAACTACTTAATAATGTGCTTCATTCGATTTTGATCAGTCATCGATAAACTTTTCCTCCGTAGACCTATTTTTGCCAAAAAAATGTAAGCGGTTTTCATTTATCAAAGCCAATATTAGAATAGAATTGGTATGGTTGTTACCAGATTTGTAGTAATTAATTGAGAAATAAAGATTGATATGCGTAATCAAGATTCTGGTGATATTATAAAAGAAACCAGCTTTTTCTAGTGAGCCAGACCAGAATCACAGTTGACTTGGTTCGATTTTTGGTGGGTCAACCATGATTTTGGCTGGGTCACTGAAAATTTCGATTAAAACGAAACATCTGGTCACAACATCTAACCAGAATCTTGATTACGGGAATTTGCCTCTCTCACAGTATAATACACTTAGGAACCTTATAAAAATTATGAAAATACTTCAAAAGGTTTTATTTACTCAAAATATGAAAACAGCTTTTACTAAACAAGGTCATGGACGAAAGGATGGGATAATACAAAATATCATGAAATCTCCGTTGAAAAAGCACATCAACAATTTTAGTTTCGAGTTAGAAAGATAACGTTCCAGTGCATTCAAGGATGGAGAGAAGTTTAATTGATAAGCATGGTTAACATCTTTAGGATGGTTTCAAGGAACCCACAGCGATGAGAAAATGACGTCACAAGTGATCAGTTATTTTCAGAATTCGAAAAGCCATTTGTCGCGAGATGCAGTAGTAATTCCAACCCTTAGCGGATTACTGTGATTATGACAAACTCCCTTGCTGCCAAACTGACGCGATCCTTTAAAATCTCGCTCACGCTGAAATGCAGAACGGGGACATTGAGATAGGTGTTGTGGAACTTAGGAAAGTTGACTGCCGATATGATAGATAATACGATTAATGCGGCTACTGGGACGCCAAAAACAATATTGCCGCGATCCCTTGGGTGGCCACTGGCCAGTGAGTTTGTCAACCAATCTTTGAGGTCGTCATTCAATCAACGCTCTGAACGGGTGGACACTTTCGCACGGTGTTACTGATTTTACACTGAGAAATTTGGCAACAGACGCAAGTGGCGACAAACGTGCGTTAATTGCCCAGGCAACTGAGGATTGCAGTTGATCACAGCACATCGCGCACCGTTGAATTTCATGCTACGAAATTAGATGTATCTCACTTTTAATCGCCGCAGTTTCAAAATTTATAGCTTATGACCACTGCCTAGCCGCGTCGCCGTGTTAAGCAATACGAGTGGGGAAAGTTTGGGTTTCCCATTCGAAGAACTTTAAATGCCTTCTCATCATGAATGCCATAATTATAGCTGGTTTGGTGGGATTTACATTTGTTGCAATATGTCGAGTGTATTTTTGATTCTGAAATTTACCCGCCATAGCAAAAATATTCGCCGGGTCACCCTCCGGAAGAATCACACCGTAGATTAAATTTTGACTTCATTCTTCAATGAGGAACAAGAATTGCGATGTTGCTAAGATTTTACAAAATATTTGATCATATCTTACAAAGGCAGCTTCAAAATTTGAAGGATTTCTGTATCCACATCTTAGATAATACGGAGAGAAGCAGGCAAATGAGAGAGTAAGAGAGCAATGGAGGAAGAATTAGATGAAAAGAAGAAAATTAAGACGGGGAAAGGGGTAAACGTGAATGGAAAAAAGAGGAAGAAAAGATAAAGAGGAAGAGGAAAATAAGAAATAGAAACAAGAGGAGAAAAATGAGACGAAGGAGATGAAAAAATTAGGGAAAAAGAAAATGAGAGAGAAACTGATTAAAAGAGACTTTGACTCTGCATTACCTAACTGAATCTTGAATTGAATTTTTCTCTCCTTCCTCGAGCACTTGAGCTTGAATCAAATACCTGAAAAAGTGTTTGGCGACGAATTTATGGATCATCATGCCTGAGTCAAGCACCTTTTCATAAAACTTATGATAATTTATTCATTTTTCCTGCTTTCAAGGCATTTATTATGAACCTTGAAGTATGCGTCCTATCAAAATGGCAAAGCTGACTTACTCGATGCAATCAATTGTTGAGTCCTTTTGGAAAAAGCTATCGGTGGACCCAACAAAAATTTCATACATATTCGTGGTGTCGCGGTGGCAAATCACAAGTATGTGAACCTTCATGGTGGATTTATAGCATACTTTCAGAAGTGATTCGATAATCAATTTATAAAATTGAGTTTAAAGACATTTTTCCAAAGTGTGCTAGGTATTAAAATCCATTCGTTTGTGAAACACCTACACCTTGCTAAACTTGAGTGGAGCTCATGTAATGAAGAACTTCATCAAAATTAAGGGAGTTTAAAACATTGTTTTAAACAACTGAGGGAGCGCGAAATTGACAAGAGATAAGGGGATACACTGGCAAAAATTTGAAATATGCACACATCTCGTTAAAAAATCGGAAATGTGTCTTACATTCATGTTTTCACTATTTTTTTAGTTGAATAGGTATTATGAAAGATGAAACCAGGTAACCTCCATTAAATTGAAGAATTGAACCACACAAAACTGTTAGTTAAAATTCTGGGAATAAAATAATGGTAATCTACAGTAAATTAAAAAAAAATTAATATTCCAAGATTATCAATCTGAAAGGTTTCATTTTCACACAACTTCACATGCCTCTCATAAAGAATCAAATGCACGAATGTCTATGCAAATATTAAGAAAAGATCCCGTCAAAAAATGCATTTATAAAGGGAGAGAATCACACCGATGTTTTCATTCGGCTCAATAAGGATGTTCGGTCAAAAGTAAACACATCACTAAAGGCGGCCTGATTTAATTTTACGAGTTCGCAACTCTTCATGTATGCCACATCCTAATAACAGCGAAATGAGGGCAATGATGTGTTTTTTCAACCGTATAAACAATAAGCATAATCGAATACAGCGGTTTTTCTTAAAAATTCAAATCTCTAAGAGCATTTGATTTTTAGAAAAATAATCAGGTCGCCTGGTCGTGAGAACGTTGCAATGGATTTTTGCAAATTTCTTTTGTTCATGGAACAGTTTTTAATACTTCTGAAAGCTTGGCTCAGAAGAACATCAGGGATCGTCATAGGTTCAAACTTGCATTGCACTGGAAAAAAAAACACATTGGATCTTGAGTCCAGACTCTTGAAAACATTGACAAGAAAAAATACTCTTGATTCAATCGGATTTTTGCTTAAATCAAAACGAATTCCGCTCAAATTAAGAGGCTTGGTTCTTGATTTAAGCAAAAATACGATTGAATCAAGAGTATTTTTTCTTGTTGATGTTTTTAAGAGTCTGGACTCTAGATCCAATGTGTCCCCCCCCCCCCNCCCCACAGTGCTGGGCACAGACTTACGACATGCATCCTCAGTTACTTTTGATTACTTTACAATCAAATATCGCGCACGAAAATACTAGACGCGCAGAAAACCATCTGAATTTTTAGAATTTAAACGCCACAGAAAAATTATTAATATTGAAATTTCTGTAAATTAGGGGGGGGGGGAGGAAGGCCCTCTGACAGCTTCGCGGTCCAATCCTTCGGAGCGATTCGCGCCTTAGGCCTTACGCGTTACGCATCACTCGTAGGATTTCATATTACAGAGTAGGAATGTCATTACGTCACACTGGAAAAAAAAACACATTGGATCTAGAGTCCAGACTCTTGAAAACATTGGCAAGAAACATGACTCTTGATTCAATCAGATTTAAGCTTAAATCAAAAGGAAATCCGCTCAAATTAAGAGGCTTGGTTCTTGATTGAAGCTTTAATCTGATCGAATCAAGAGTATTTTTTCTTGTCGATGTTTTTAAGAGTCTGGACTCTAGATCCAGTGTGTTTTTTGTCCAATGCTTGCTTGGAAACCCGTTAAAATAATGATCTTCGGATTGGTAGAGTCGAAGAGAGAATGTTTCATTGCAATTCTTTGTGTTTTTTTCAAATCGCAAAAAATGACAATAGAGACTGCTGGTCGGTTTTCCTTTTGAACCAAGCGTGAACGGAGACTTACAAAGTCACTAGCTAAGATATGCATTTTTCGACTTTATTCATCGATGTGACTCGGTAATTTTTCGAGGAAAAATTTTAAATTATCAACGAATAAAGGCGTTGCAAAAAAAAGACTAGGTTTTGTGGCTCGATAATTTTTGAAGACTATAAATAAAATTCTTGAGATTTGAATTTAGCACCTACTTATCAAGCCATGTGAGATAATTTGTTTGCCTTCGAGATGCTCACAGCATATTTTCTTCCTTGGACCAAAATGTATTCTAGACTAAAATTAAGTTGCGAAATAAATTTGGTCTAAAAAACAAGTTCTTCTACATGCACTTTAGACACACAAACTATCTCACATTGCTATTGAAAAAAATAGTAAGGCGGAAAAGGGAAAAATAAAATTGAGGGGAAACCTTAGAACACAGGGAAACTGACCGCTTTCGTAAAACACCAAATTTTCACTAATCGCGATGTATCAGCGGGAGAAACAAAACACTGGAAAAAAACACTCCAGAGATAGGATCTTCTGGATTTGTATATATGGTCAGACGGCCGATGACCGCACAATTAGAAAAACACAATACTCACTTTGAAGGGAGGTTATCCTTTTGGTAGAAACACTGCTCACTGTCGCATTCTGTATGAGTGCCAAACTGAAACGGGTCTCGAGCGGTGGTAATTAGTGTTTATATCGGGTGGTTGAAACTTCCTTGCTGATCGTCGAGGGTAGTTCTGACCTCGAGAGGAGGATTGGCTCTCGGCGTTGTTTCAACACGAGAGAAATTCGAAATTCGGCAAACGGAACTGGTGACAAACTGGCGGAGGGCAGAGAGCTTCCTTCCGAATTCCTCTTGCATCTCGCTGCAAGCCAGCTCACGCTAAAAATACCTAAGTAGAATTGGACTACATTTCGCAATTAGGAACAAGAATTTCTTGCTCGCCCGAAAAAAACACTCAAAAGCATAGGGAAACTGATTGATTATAAGTTCTTTCTAAACTGAGCCTCTTAAAAGCCTCTCTTCCTTAATGCAAAATTTAGTCGAATTCTCCCGAGTTACCGAAAAAAGCAGCAATTTCAAATATGAGATGTTGAAAAAAATGGACTCACGTCCTGTAACGCCTGAGCAGAACATTTCATTGAACGAATTCTCCAGTCTTTCAGAAAATCTTAAAAGTAACGCTTGCAGCACGACCCGCTTCGGGGTTGGGCCGCGAGGCAGTTAGAAGGATCAGCCTAATAATCATCCAAAAGAACCCCAGAAATTGTTCGTTGGTTAAAAAACTCATGAATTTTACTTTCAACTTAGTGAAAAGGGCCTTTTTGATTTCATTTTAAGCAGGGCAGCAGTTCCTGCTATGCTTTCCATGCTTGCGTGAGTTGCTCTGAATACAATTTTCTTTCAATTGTAATACAATTTAATTTTGAAAAACATTAAGACACTGTTAAGACATTTTCGACATGTTTGGTCTCCCTTCCTCATGGTCTACTTTTAATTTTCCCTAATTTACATTTTTACAATTTTTTCCAGTTCCAGTTCCCATCTACTGAGGCTTAATGCGAGCGAATTGCTGATGAATTTTACGAGCGCTGGAATTTTCCGAATTTAATTCGTGCCTTAGATGGAGAGCATTTTGCTTTAAGTCCCTATCGGAAGGTGGGTTCTCGATTATACAATTATAAAGGTTTCAAGAGTATAGTTCTTTTAGCTCTCGTGGATGCTAATTAGAAATTCATTCGTTGACGTTGGTGCAAATGGGAGAAACAGTGATGGATGTGTTTTTTCCAGGAGTAGTCTCAGTAGAGCCTTGAGAGAAAACTTATGGAATTTTCAACCACCTCAGCCTCTTCCTGGCCGATGAATAAAGGTACCATTTGCCGTGATCGCTGATAGTGCATTCCCTTTATTACAGCGGCTTATGAGACGGTATTTCAATTGTGTTAACGTAATTCAGCAAATTTTCGACAAGTTTCTAAGCTCTGCTCGAAATGTAGTAGAGAAAGCCTTTGGGCTGTTGGCAAACAGATTCAGTGTTCTCTTATCCCCGATAATAGTACATGATCCACAGTTTGCTAAATTTTGCTTTTAGCACTGTCATATTGCACATAACGTGCTACTAGAACGATCTCCTCAAATTCATGAATCGATGGCGAGTGTAGACATCCTTCAACTCCCAGATTTTGAGGGGGAACCTGGCCCTGATAGTGAAGCAGGCCTTCATGAGAGGCGGGAATATGTTCATTGTCTATGCCCGATTTCAAAGATATATCAGAAGTCAAATAGTTTCGTAACCAAACATTTTGTGCGGGTACCTGTTTCACCTTCACTTTGTTCCTGAGTTTTCCAATGTGCTTATTTTTTTTGGGTCCGTGCTTGTTTTGATGTACTTATTCTTTGCTCTGAGGCATTTGCTTCATCGTGTTTATTTGAATACAGCTAACTCAATATTTTCATAAATAAGCTTATTTTCCTTTATTATTTTAAATACTCCTTTAATAGTCCGCAGTAAAGTAGGATGAACGTGCTTGAAAAGGCCAAACTTTAACCTCTTAGTACAGAAAATGTTGACAAGAGATGACTACAAGAGATGACTACAGAGAGCTCTTATGTCCATGCATGACATTTGTTGGAGGTGTGCCCCCCCCCCCCCCCCCCNCCGAATAGAGTAAAGTCCATGTGCCCTGGCGCATATAATAGAGCGAGATGGATGGCAAAGGCGATATATACCCTCAAAATTTACATGTTCCGGAGCCAATTTTCTTTAACTAACAATGAAAAGAAGTCGCTCATGGCGATCAATTTATTTATTATTAAAGCCTATGTTAGGTATTGTTTCACGACTCACTCCTCGATTGGGGCGCCTCTAAACGACTTGATTCTGATGGATGTTATAAAAAAAAATGAATCTGTGGACAAAAGTACCGCCACTGTTGCCATGAGGAAAATGGATAACCATTTGTGGTATCTCAGCGAGAGTTTGGTGCCTTTCTCTCTCTCTTTGATCATCGAATCGACCTCGCAACGAAAAGAGCCTGCGTTGCAAATTTAAAGAGTAATATAGGATTACCGGATCCCCCAGTGCGACTCCACGTTGACAATGAAGAATCTCTAATTAGTTTGGGAAACGATGAAAAAAACTATAGATTTAGTTCGCCTCCGACCGCTTTACCATGTTCATCCTCACCCTGGGTTGAGTTGAATTTTCGCGACGGATAACTGCGGAAAGTTTACCCTTCTATCGGTCGCGCCGGAAAATACGTCATATTTATGTTTCGTTCTGTTTATGTTTTATGTTCGTTACTGTCATCGTATCTGAATATGGCTTAAAGGCGTTTACTAAATTGTGTTCAATGTGTTATGAGCTGAAAGGAGCGCTCAAATAATTCGTGCAATGATGAACGAGTGTTACGAGCGATATCGTGGCTGACTTAAATAGAAAATGTGTGTTTTGTGAAATGTCTTTGACGTCGGAGAAAACTCAAAAACTGGGAGAAGTGGGTATTGGAAAAACTTTGACTGTATACAAACGACTGAACATTGAGAAAAAAGTGTCGTTAGGTCAAGCCTTTCATGACCTCGAGTTTTCATGACCATACTGAAAGGGCCGTCAAATTGATGCAAAAGTTTAATAAGAAAGTTGAAAGTGAGCAAGATTTCAAGATTTACTACAAGTATCGTCTCACTTCACAAACAATGTTCATAAAATATCCAAAAAAATTCTAGCTAATGACATCGAAAAATTTTGATAAGCTTTGACTTTTGTTAAACTACCTAATATTGCTATTGTTGCCAAAAAAATGTTACTACGCAAGTTGGACGATGGTACGCTTAACTAATTTCATGCCGAAGACGTTTTTAAACATTGAACAATTTATATTAATTTTAAAGAGCCTTATCAGAATTTTAATTGTCCTCCCTCTGAAGAACAACATTGAGTCTCCGTCTCGCAATAACAGCGAATCAACAACTCGTGTTTAGCCTTTTAATTTCATTTATTTATTTATTAATTCATTTATTTATATTTTTATTTTTCTTTGTTTCCAGTTGAGCATGAGAAGTTAATATTACGAAACGCCCCGTTTCTTTTTTTCGTCTTTTTTTGCAGCCTCCCCATCGTTGCTTCCTGCACTACGTTTAGCTGTGTATGAGTACATGTTCCTCACTCACAACCCACGCGCGATGCAAAGCTTGTCTCGGTCAGCCGCGCGCGGCGCGCGGCCGCGGCTCGACTTCCCGCCCATTTAAGTCGGTTTTTAAATTGATTAATGATGAATTAATTGTTTTAAAATTTTTTCCAAAAAACATTCCTTATTTGCACACCTCATAGCACGTTTTGAGACCTGGGGAGCTTAACTTTTCTCAAATTTCAAAAATAAGGGACACCGTTAGGAGGGGTTCACAACTCCAACAATGTGTTTTTTGATGTTAATCCCGGCATGGAAGAAATAACGCAAGGATGTCACAACTGTAAAAATGCATCCACGTATTACAGCCACTCCTGTATAAGACCAAATATTTACCTAGATCACCCATTGCTAATTCCACAGGATGCTATGTTCCACAAACTGTCGGATAAGGTAAAGACAATAAATCTGAGAGAGACGCTGTTAACGGATTTAGTTCTTCAAAACTTAAGAGAAGACGGACGGAAAAACAAATCGCTCTTATTTCTAGTAACACCGGAGAAATTGGACTTAAGGTGATTCGATGGACGCCATAACTGGTGTCAGAACGGCATGCGATAAATCGCATCAATTGGTTCTATTTTTTCAGCTACTGGTCATTTTTCTCCAATTTTAAGATCGCTATTCTGTCGTCAGGAGACTAAAGCACTCACTTACCAATTTTAACAAAGAAATTCAACGTAATAAAGGCGTGGTTTTTTTTAGAGAGAAACTATCGCATTCGAGTGCAGTTTCGATATCAGTATTGAATGCGATGTTTTCTCTCTAAAAAAACCCGCGCCTTTATTACGTTGAATTTCTTTGTTAAAATTGGTAAGTGAGTGCTTTAGTCTCCTGACAACAGAATTGCGATCTCAAAATTGGAGAAAAATGACCAGTAGCTGAAAAAATGGAACCAATTGGTGCGATAGATCGTATGCCGTTTTGACACGAAATATGGCGTCCATCGAATCACCTTAAATCCACCTCCACAAGGAGACCCGAATCCACGTACCCCTTTGGGAACCTCAAACGAACAAGTGCGGTGTACCACCAAGTCTGTAACAGCAATTTCTGTACTGGAAAAGCAGTGCCTGCTCCACACGTGGTAACTTTCAAGCTTGTTGTGTCCATGGATAAATCGCAGAATACAGTTGAAGGTTGGCACAACGCGCTAGCCTCCATTTTTAAAGCCAGGCATCCATCTAAATGGTAGGTAATAAAGGCATTAAAAAAGAGGAACAAGTGTGCAGAAAAAAAATTAAAGATGTTGCTGCAGGGAAACCGTTTCCTCGGCAACAAAAGAAGTACCACGATCTCACGCAACGGCTTGAAACCATCTGCGTCGACTTCCAAAACCGCCCAATAGATGAGTTCTTGCGCGGTAATCGATCTTCGGAATTTGACCGACGACGCAAACTAGTTCTGACTAAAATTTTACGTAAAAACCCGAAAAAAAAATCGATTTCGGGTTTTGTCGAAGACGCTCCGTCAACGTTTTGACTAGTAAATTCGCATTTAAACGATTTTTGGCCTTGGACTCTAACGTATACAACCAATTTCAAGGAAAATCTTTTGCTTTTTAATAAGACACAAGTATTCTTCTGTTTCGTTTCACGTTGTCAATGGACCACTAGACAAGGTACGAATTTGAGCAATTTGATACATGTTTCT